CCCCCCCTTTGGAGTCTGGATTGCTACCTAAGTTGAGGACCCGTGACGTATTAATGGCTCGAGGATGGTTTAGCCGACGGAGTTCCAGAGGACGTGCTGACGGTCTTCTCGCCATTAGGGGAAGTTTAGACGCTTGGTATCCTGATACGTAATTATCTTTCAATTTCCCTAATAGCCTTTCCCAGAGCTATGAAATTGTCCTGCATGGCTCACCTATAGTGCAAAGCATGTTTTTTTCGGAGAAGAGCGAAGGTTCAGCCAGACGGCGCAGCTGAACCTTCTTGGCCCTCATCCGGCAGGGTTGGCTTTAGCGGTCCTTATCCGCTGAGAGCCACAAATGTAGACCCATCTGGTCGACAAGTAATAACCGACTTTGACATATGGGAAGAATTTTAATTTCCTGGACTAATCTGATCAAGCCCTTCGGCCCTTCAGTCATATTTCTGACTCGCCAACCAAGGCTGCAAGTCTGGAACCGATCCGGTAAACTCAATGCCCCATGGTTCCTGGTGCCACCTCGATCGATGGTTCTGATCCAATCAGACATGGAGTAGACTCTGATACATTTTGGAAGGAGACTGGATATTTCAATTTACATTGCCCAATGTGAACGCTGGAAGAGCGCCAGACCCTCATTCTGGGGCCCTCGTCCACAAATTGGACGCGTACAGCCAATGTGAAAAATGAAGGGTCTGCGGCCACCGAAGGGCAATAAACGGTTCCCACTCGGACATAACACATTTTAGTCTGCTCGATAAATTAACGTCCTTGATTGCATTACGGTCCGTCAATCTGGTACCTGGAGAATCGTGGCTAGTACGTAGTACGGGCCAGCCGCGTGGAGCTCCTGGAAGCTGAATGCCATTGTTAATTTGTTATATTAGAAAGGATTCCCGCATGATACTAGTTAAGCCTGCTCCTGTCAGGCTTACTCTGTTTTTGCCCCCCTCATGCAACGCCCTGTTGCTGCTGCTGTGTAACCTCCCCAGTGTTGTATGTTTGCAAATGCAGTGAGGGATCTTTTATCATCCTCTCCATGCCGCTGTCCTGCGGGTAATATCTGGTTTTGGCAAGCTTCTCACGCCGAGAATGTTGCTCACGGACAGGGCTCCCCACGGGGACAATGTCCATGTGTCTTACATGGGAGGATTCATCTTTCTGGCTTACGTAGTCAGTGTGATGGGATGTACAACCACTCTGGAGCTTCTGCACCGACGGACATCGAGGTCTGGTCTGTACAACTGGTACGATATCCACACTTATCCACACTGTCCGATAACAACAAGAATCCGTCTGACCGTAAGTATAGGTATCTATTGCTCACCTCCTCCATAACAATGGGTGGTGTCGGTATCTGGTGTATGCATTACATTGGAAACCGTGCCATTGTCTTGGGAAATGGGGATGCGCAGCTTCAGATCATCTATAGCATGACGTTTACGGGAGTATCTTTCGTGCTTCCGGTTGTCGTCTTGCTCGTTGCCTTCTACAGCATAGGAGCCAGCGAGAAAGCCGGTTATCTTCGAATCCTGACGGGTGGTATACTCACAGGTGGTGCAGTATGTGGTATGCATTATATCGGCCAGCTCGGTATCAGCAACTACCGCTGTAGCTACCGGATTGCAAACATCATCGGTGCCACTATCATTGCGGTGTTTGCTAGTACTGTTGCGTTGACGGTCTTCTTTCGGTGGAGGGCCACTTGGACAGATAGTTGGTGGCGACGTGGTATTTGCGGCTGTGTCCTTGCTCTTGCTGTCTCTGGCATGCATTGGACTGCTGCAGTTGGTACATACTACTACAATCATGACACAACCATGAAGCATAATGGTCAGCTTTCGCGGAGCCAAGTTGTCATTATCAGTTCTGTTTTGGTAGGTTGAATTCCAGGAGGTACGAATTTGGCGGATGTTAACGGATTATAGGCATGCGCTGCTTGCGGAGTTCTGACGGCGTGCGCCGTAGTTGCTGGTGGAAACCGGAGAAGGCTGAACATACAAGCTCGACAGCTCGTTCTGACTTGTGCCTTCTTTGACCAGTCCGGACGGATCATGGTCACTCCTCACGCGCTGCTTCCTAGCCGGAAGATTGTCGATCGTTATGTTGGCAAGGTATGTTCACAAGCTAGTCCACTCTCGACTTGTGCTGATGCAGGATTCTTCCACGACTTGATAGACGTTCAACGACGACGATCTTACCCGAAGCCATCCCGCTTTCCTTTGGGCATACCGAGCGAGTAGACACTGGAATCTGGTCAAGGATGTCGTTCCTTTCATGAGGAGTCGGATCGAGACAGACAAAGAGGCGGCGGAGCACTTCCTTGCCAAGGGAGAGGCCCTGGATCAGGAGAATGAGCTGCAGAACGATTTCGACGAGCTCTTCAAGCGACACTTTTGCGTTACTGCTCAGGATCTCGCCGATGAGGTTCGACAGCCTCTGCCAGCGCTCGGAAAACTATACGACGACGTACTGATTACGACTGCTCCCACTTCGCGCTTCTCTCGGGCAATGGGATACTCTCGGTTGAACAATAGCAAGGGTCAGATGCTTTTCACAGTGCGCCATCTGGACAAACAGGAAGCGAATCGACTGGCCGCCGCAGGTTTCCGTTTCACCACGATCGAGAACGTCACATCAGCTTTGTCGAGCCGAATGCACATTCCGCTGCCTGTGTTGGGCGAGCATCTGAAAGACATGCGAGATTACGCGACCGGAGGCCGCAATTACGAGCCGGGCGTCCACCTCGTTTCCTTTGTTATGCGCCCTACTATTTCCGACCACTTTGAGGTACTAACAGCGAAGGGAACCGGTAACCCATTGCCTTCATCAACATTACCGATCAAACGGATCAACATTCAGCACCTCGATTTGATCTCACACATGGAAGGATGGACCATATCGACCTGCTTGTCTTGGCTGAAATCAGAAGCGGCCCAGTCAAACAAGGAGATCGATGACTTCCGCGAGCAACTGATCCATGCAATGACATCGCTAGAAAGCGCACTTCCTCCCGATATCAACATGGCCTCGAAATTCTCGGCCAAACCTCTTATTGCCCCTTGCCGGGCTTTATCTGATTCTGATGCGTCAAACTCTATTCTACTACCGTTCTGCGCTGTTGGAAACCTGGATACTCAAGTCTCAAACCCAGACTTTACCTTCATGCCTCTACGCCTCTTCCGCGCACAGCAGCAACTCAACGACACGAACATCGGAGGCGACGGGTTTGCAAAAGAACTGGGCAGAGAACTGTACTATTCAAACGCACGCAGCAGCTCCGCTACGGAAGCCGACATCACACCTTCCATCCGTTCTGTTCTGAAACTCTGGCCACGCAAGCATATGGATCCCGCCCATGGGGATCTCTCGCAGGAAACGCTGACGGAGCTTTCGCAGCTGGGCGATATCATGGTCCGCAAGGAGGTCAAGGTGGACGTCGCTAAGCTATCTACGCGATCACTGGAATCTACCAAACATGCTTCGCACGCCACCGTTGTTGCTGGCGACCTGGCTAGCAGCAGTTATGTGGATGAACTCTATAACCTTTGCTATTCACCTGGTGTTCGCCTGCGCCCAAATACAGCCATTACTCGGAATTCGATGGCCCGGAGCTCAGTGGCCAGGAGCTCAGTGGCCACAGGATGAACATGAGATTAGACTGTTCAACTTAAACACTGCTCTGAGCCAGATGCCTGGCTCTCACTCAGAGACCTCGAAGAAGTATAGGTCCTCCATCAGATACACGTGTGCGCCAGATATGCACCAGAATGGAGTGAGCCTGCACGCGGCCTTTGGAGACATCCGGCTGTAAAAGTGCAGAGCCGCCCACCCCCACGAAACAGATTATAAGGGGTGAGCCAGAAGGCCATAGCATGGACCTGCAGGCAACGCGGTTATGCACACATCTCTTCACGATTTCACGCCCGTCAAACGATCACATCGTATCGCAATGTCCTCACACTCAGCAAGCAGATTACATGTCTCTCTCCCTTTTTCTTTCTTGTCATCCATATACTAGCGAATTGAAGCAACCCACTCTGGCGTTATTTCCGTCATGTAAATATAGACAGTATCTACTATCCTATAGATAAATTAATTATACAATGAGCGACAGAATGCAGATCTCTCCTAATAAATACTCCTAAGCATTCATACAGAACCCACATGCCTCCCATCCCATGATTGTTCAAAATACCATCGATCAAAAACAATTATCAACCAACTCCTACATATCCAATACACAACAAGGAACTACGAACCCCTCAAAAAATTGAAACAGCCACACTAAACCAAACATAAGATTTCCTTCCCCCAAGGTAAAAAAGCAAAGGTAAACAAAAAAACAAAAAAAATTCTCCCCGACTGGGAGTCGAACCCAGGTCTCCCGCGCTTGTTCCCAAAGTTGGAATTGACAAGCGGAAATCATGACCGTTAGACCATCGAGGAATTGATAGGATAATACTCCTATAATATGCTCTATAAACCAAATGGAGCTACTAAAGGTAGAGAAGCCGACAAGGTTTGTTATACCTAGCTGGTTATTGGTCCGCCAACTACACTTCTAAGTACTAGTGGTGGTGGTGGTGGTGGTGGGGGGG